ATATTCTGATTTACTCGAAGTGCATGGAGGATCATCTCAATCATCAGCAAGAGGTGTTGGCGATGCTAAGGAAGGAAAAATTGTATGCTAACCTCAAGAAGTGCTCGTATTGCACTTCTAGTGTTATTTTCCTTGGTTTTGTTGTGTGTGCGAGGAGTGTGGAGTGCAAGCAGGCCAAGTTGAAAGTGCAATCATCTGGAACAAGTTCCTGGATAACAAGCCTAAGGATTTTCTTATTGATAATAGTGACGATATTGATGCTAGTGACGATATTGACCTTGATACGGAGCTGGAGCTTCTAACTAAGATGAATGCGCTAACTATGGATATGATACCAAAAATAGACCGATTTTATATCACCCTTCAATTCGAATTAGCAAAAGCAATGTCTCCTTGCATAATATGGATTCCAAACATTCATGATCTGGATGTGAATGAGTCGAATTACTTATCCCTCAGTCTATTAGTGAACTATCTCTCCAGGGATTGTGAAAAATGTTCCACTAGAAATATTCTTGTCGAAGCGTACACACCACTTCCGATTCCATATGCTCCATGGGGATTTTGTGCTAGGTTTGTCGCGGACAAGGAAGGGACGAGATTCGATTTTCGTAATGGTGGATTGATTCTCGAAGATGGCACGCTTTATCCGTGTCATAAGACGGATGATGCTATTAACGTGGTTGATTTGTTTTTCAGGGAAGTGGTGCGATTGCATGGGATGTCGCCTTCTATAGTATCCGAACAAGATACAAAGTTTCTGAGTTCCTTTTGGAAGACGTTGTGGAGCAAACTGGGGATGAAGCTGCTATTCTCTACCACATGTCATCCTCAAACCGATGGGCAAACAGAGGTTGTCAATCGAACTCTGTCCCAGATGCTGCGAGCTGTGATCAGGAGCAACATCAAGATTTGGGAGGACTGTCTTCCCCACGTGGAGTTTGCTTACAATAGGGTGGTGCACTCGACGACGAAGTTTACTCCATTTGAGCTCATGTATGGTTTCAATCATCTCACTCCTTTGGATTTGATGCCATTACCTTTGAAAGAGCAGGTCAATCTCGATGGAGCCAAGAAAGCCGAGTTCATGAAGAGTTTACATGAGAAGGCGAGATTAAACATTGAGAGAAGGACGGAGCAGATCATGCGCAATGTGAACAAAAATAGGAAACCGAGGCACTTTGAAGTTGGTGATTGGGTGTAGGGGTGGAAATCGGTACGGTATCGGTATCCCAATACCAAATACCGAAATTCTGAATACTGAATTACACCCTAAAATCAATCCCAGTCCATAATAATTTCGGTATCCCAATCCCTAAATATTTCGGTATCCCAATCGGTATTATGAAATACGAAATCAATTACTTTTACAATTAATAATTAAATATATAAATTAGATTTGATTATTTAATATATGACAAATAGACTAAGAAAATAGTTTTGAGTTTGGCTAGAGCTAAGATTTGGATAAGGAGAACGGAGGAGAGGTGAAATCTCAAGTTTTTGTCATTGTTAATCCTTAATTTGACGAATTGGAGGCTGAGAGAAGACTTAAACTAGTGTTTACTTTTTTGTATTATTGAAATAACAATAGATTGATGATTGAGTGTTGTGTAATAGTGAATGAGAGAGTCTAGTTGAGAGGATAAAATACACACTAGCTTATATTTCGGTATTGTTATGTATTTCGGTATATTCCGATCCCAATCTCGTAATCCATAATACCGAATAACAATTGAAGTTGAGTCCCAATCCCAATCCCAAGAAATAATACGTGTATTTAGTAATACCAAATATAGACAAAATCGGTACGGTATTCGGTATATCCCAAATACCGGTACCAAACTTCCAGCCCTAACTGGGTGTGGGTGCACTTGAGGAAGGAGAGATTTCCTCAGCAAAGGAAATCGAAGTTGCTGCCTCGTTGTGATGGTCCTTTCCAGGTGGTTTCGAATGTGGGAAGCAATGCCTACAAGATCAACTTGCCAGGAGAGTATGGAGTAAGTGCAACGTTTAATGTTTCTAACCTTTCACCTTATTTGGATGGCAATTCGGATTTGAGGGCAAATCCTTTTGAAGAAGGATGGGCTGATGAGGACATCAATGGGTCAGTCACACGTACAAAGGCAAGAACGTTGAAGGAGAAGCTTGCAATGTAGCTCGGGGTAGAAGTTTTGTATAAATGTATCGCCATGCTATTAAGTATTTTGATTCAAATTTTTTCTTTCTAAGAGGTGGAATAGAATAACCCGATTGACCTAATCTCGAGTGTTCATTTCCAAGAACGTCACGGTGGCCAAGAGTGCGACGATCTGTGCTAAGTAAGCGTTGGTAGAGAGCGGTAGGATGATGATGACCAATAAAGACCAAAAAGAAGAAATGGCAAGAGAAAGACGATATCGATAGAGGAAAAAACCATGTGGAAAAGAGGGCAGGGATTCTCTACAATGACAGGGCATCATCCCCGCGCTTGGGCGAAAGGAGAAGGAGAAGAGGTTTTTAAAAAAAGAAAGTTTACCCCCCTACCCACATATGGATTTGGAGAGCTATTTTGGAGCCATGGACATGGAGCTATTTCGAGGGAAGCCATATATGATGATTAGAGTCGAGGAAGAAGGAGGAAGTGCTGGAGAGAAGGCAGATTGCAAGAAGGAGCCTTAACGGGTTTGCTTAACGGGTCCAGACTTAACGGTTTGGGCTTAACGGGTTTGCTGGGTTATTTTCGGGTTTCCTTGTTTTCAAGTTGGTTTATGATTGTTTTTCCATTTTGGAGCCAAATTTGGATTGTACTTTGCCTATTTAAAGAGGCCGAACCATCTGTTTAAGGGGTTAGACAATTTTGAGAATAAACCCTAAAGGCTTTTGGCGTGTTTCCTTTGAGGAACTCAGTTCTAATTCTCTGTCGAGTATCTCCAGAGTTAGACCAAACTCTTATCAGCTAGGTATTCACCCTGGTTGTGGCGAGCTACCCTTATATTGATTGCTCTCTATTCCCGGTTGAATCTGTCCGATCGATCTTATATCGGTTGCCCTTATTCACGAGTGAGTATTGTCCGATCAATTCCACCCCTATTCGGTTCTGTTTGGTTCGAGAAGTTTGATCCTGCGCTACTTTGATTATATCAAAGCATCATCCTCACTTTCTTCTCCACCGCCAAAATCTGATGTTGCCATCCGTAGGGGACAGAGTGTTCGAACCTCCGTCGCCACCTTCATCGTGGCAATTTGCTGTTGAATCTGGGTCCTAGGAATGCCCGATGATGAGCCTGTACGAGATTCAAACCCCACCTGTTATGTGAAGCCCAAAAAAATGCCAAAAGCTTTCTCATCTCTCCTCATGAAGTCCCTGGTAGTTGAGAAACCGACGTTGGCCAGATTTGGATTATCCTGCAAGTGAAGATCTTTTGGGATAGATGATTTCTTCCGCACAACATTTAGCGCATGGGAGCGGAGAAGATTAGCGTAGCATTTAGCGGTGGCCAGATTTGGAATCTCCTGCAATGGGCTTGAGTAACTTGCACAGGAGGAGGAAGAAGGCGGTGACGGAGGGAGGAGAAGAGAGGCGTGGTTGGTAGGGTCACTGGCGAGAATTAATTGAGGGAAGAGAGGTGTTGCAGAGATCTAAGTCAGGAGGTTGCTTAGAGATATGGTGATGGGATTGGACTAGATGATTTTGGAGAAGAAGAAGAAGAAAAAGAGAGATGGTGGTGGGGGTTTGTAGATCTGCTGGGTTAGATGAGAGAGAGAGTAGATTTGGAGATGTGGGGCAACTCGATAAGGCATGACCGATTCATGTGTTGGGTTCATTGGGTGGGTTGGGCAAGATGACGCACCGGGTCGTGATGATGTGGCGGGTCAAGTTTAGTATTTTTTAGGTTAAATTCGGCTGATTAGGCAATTTCGTTTGTCATGTAAGCACTTAACGAACTCCATTAACAGAATTGAACGGAGACTAACAGAAAGTGACCAAATTTGGACCGTTAAACTAATCTTAGTGACCAAAATTGATATTAATTTTTTTCCGTGACTAAACATGACACATTTTAGTAAACCAAGTGACCAAACTTGACATTTACCCTAAAAAAGGGGTTGCTAATTATCGCCCTAATGTTAATACAATCGCCCTAACTTATAAGTTTAAATTACCTTTTCATCCTTCTTTCTTTTTTACAGTTAAGAGATAATTTGCTAAAAAAAAACAAATTCCATATGGAATTACCCACCGCCGATATTGATTACCAGCACCACCACCCTTTCCCCGCCATGCTCTGTACAACTACTGCCCCCTGCTATGTCTATACCTTACCCGCCATTCTATACCTTACACTATACATTTATCCACAAACACAATCATTTATTCTTAGAAGTAAAAGATGAACGATGCTGGTGGGGAGGAACCGCCGCAAGCGGGTACGGTGGGGGAGTACAGAGTAGGAACAACGGATGGTGGATGGTGCCACTCGCGAATCGGGGAGAATGGTGTAGGCGATAATGGGGAGAAGGAACGTTGGCGGATTGCGGAGGAGGGCGGCATAGGGTATTTGGAGATCGGAAAGAGGTCGACGGTATTAAAAGAGAATTGGTAATTTTAGGGCCTCTGTTAAATTTGGTTTGATTAATATATGGAGGATAATTTAGTATTTTAAGTGTTAAATTAGGACGATAATAATAAAATTAGGGCGAGATTTAGCCATCCAGTAAAAAAATGGATAATGCAACTATGCTAAGCCCAACGGAAACACTATAACAGTATGAGCCTCAAGTAACTAACATGCCCAAAGTAGAAACCTTGGCAGTTAATCGATCAAACAGAGGAGAGATGACTTTGGCTCCCTCTCTTCGTTCTGTTCTTCCCAAACCAATATCCATTTCCTGGAAACTTGTATCATTAGTTCAGTCAAACCGATTGCTTGCCAACATCAACAGATGGGTAATATGAAACTCTGATATCTTATTGATATTCTTTAATTTAAGCGGCTTCGTTACATATAAACTCCTCTTCAAATAAAGACGACCGCAAAGGTGCTAGTAACCACATACTTACCACCATCATCATCATGACCAGACCAGACCACCGAGCCTTGACGAAAACTAGTAGTACTACTGTTACTTGTTGCCACATTCCTCAACCTAGTAAACGTAACAGAGTAACTCGCTTTCTCTCCCACCTCCTTAAACTCGATCTCATTAGGCGTGACTTCAACACCAATGATCCCTTTCCATGTAACAACCACGCTCATGTACCTCGAGTTAGCCCGACCAACGTTAGTAACCGTTCTAGTGTACGTCTGATTATCACCGGGAGCCAGCGAGATCGAGAATGTCGGGTAGTTCAGCTGAGCCTCCGGTATCGAAGATGAGCAATTCACCTTTCGCTGCACGATCGTTCTCACTTGCTTGTCGCTGTAACCCAACCCACAGAGGTAAGGAATGTAGTCATCCGGTTCGATGTCGTAAACCAGCCCGGGGTTCAGTGCCTTGGATGGGTCCACATGGCCCGAACCCATGTCGAAAACGGTAGCAGGAACATTCTGCTCGTTGGAGATCGGGCTGCCACCGAGATCGCCCGTGTAAGCTGTGGTTAAGATGGCCGACTTTATGGCTGCAGGGGACCAATTCGGATGAGCACTTTTGATGAGGGCTGCAACTCCACTCAGATGTGGGCAAGCCATTGAAGTTCCAGAGACCACGTTGAATGAGTTAGTAGCATTGTCGACAGATTCCGCCCAAGCAGCCAGAATGTTGACCCCGGGGCCAATGATGTCCGGCTTCAGGATCCCGGGAGATAGCAGGCTAGGACCTCGGGAGGAGAACGAGGCGACTTGTGGAGCGATTTTCGACTTGCCGATCAAGGTACCTTGGAATGAGATTGCTGCGGTTGGGGATGACGTGGAGTTCAAGTAACCCTTGACTAGCAATCCATCCTTGTAACCGAGGCATGATGCCGGGAGAACATGAGCATCAGGAATAATAGTGTCACCATCTTCAACACCATTGATCAAGATCATGCCTGCTCCACCATTGTCCTTAACTTCTTGCCCCTGGAAGATTCTCCACTCTGGAAAACTTGCCTGGCATATGACTATCTTGCCCTTAACATCAATGTTCTTCAGTGACCCTTTCTCACAGAATGCTGCAGATTCACCATTGGAAGCAGGGTCGACAAGTGGCAGCTGCTTTGTATGGAAGCCTTCAGGCAGGAAGAGGGATTGGCCATAGAGCTCCACATTGTTCCCCAACTCAACCGTCGCCCTGATCTCTCTATCGATCGTGCTTGCTCCGACGGTTAGAATCCATGGCGCGGCGTTGGTTACTGTATTCGGAGAAGGTCCACCATTTCCAGCAGAGCAGCTCACAAAGATACCCTTCTGGATGGCTCTAAATGCTCCCAATGCAAATACGTCGTCGAAGAAAGGTACACTACCATTGGAGTAACTCATTGAGATTGAGAGCACATCAACGCCTTCCTCAATAGCTGCATCCATTGCTGCCAATGCGCTACTCTCAATGCCGACCTTGTACATTGCCAAGTGGGCTTTTGGCGCGATCCCCATGGCTGTCCCGTTCGCTTGTCCAAACACATTGGCGGCTTCTACAGGGCTCCCTGCAGCTTCCGATGCAGTATGACTCCCATGGGGTATAGCCTCCACCGGGGCATCCCCATCCCATATGAAGTTTCTAGCACCGACAAGCTTGTTGTTACACGTTCGCTTGCCATTGAAGTCACACCTGCCTCTCCATTTGGCTGGCGGGGGAGGCATGCCTTTGTCGAAGAAAGAAGGGTGATCGTGCTTTATCCCCGTGTCGATCAGGCCAATGATCACTCCCTCGCCGTAATGTGAGGACTTCCAACCTCCTACATTCTGTTGCAGGCCGAGGAACTTGGGAGTGAAGGTTGTGTGAAGGGAGACAGGTCGCTCAACTCTAGCTGAAATAAATCCTTCCTTCAGTTCCATTGCTTTGGCCTCTTGCGGAGTGAGCTTAGCAGCAAAGCCTGTGATAACATTGTGGTAGGAGTGGACGATCCGTCGTTGGTTTGGAATTAAGCTTGAAGTAGCTTCTGGGAGGAATGTGGTGTACCAGTCGTGTAGATTGGATTCTAGTAGGCCATCTGGTTTCTCTACAACCACAATGTAGGTTTCCAAGTCGGTTTTCACGGAAGCTTCTGATGCTTCATGGGAGAAAGAGAAGGTGGTGAATAATGAAGTGGTAATTAAGGTGAGGGAGATGAGGAAAAAGGCTTTCATTTTCGTTTCTTTTTTCCAGTGAGCAAGCTGGTTTACTTAGAGGTTGCTTGCTTGCCTGCTACTGAAACTTGAACCTTGTTGATCAATATATAGTGTGACAAACACTATCTGGTCTGTTGCAGGTCTCTTTCTGCAGATGCTTTAGTGAGACATTTTCTCAAGTAAATGACAAACATCTACTGGGTTCTAGTTATGAACACGGTAATGGTATCAGCAACGGAAAGTGGCAATTTCCCTTCTTCGACATTGCAGCAGACTAGCAATGTAGTCACAGGCATACTTTTAAAAACTCCCACAAGGACACATGCGAATGTTGTAAACTACTTTTATGTGGCATTTTCTGCATTCTGATAATATCCAGTTGCTGGAGATGCTGAGGAATGAAATTTCGTCCATCTCTGGAACGCATAATATTTTCTTCTGATATGGAGTGTTTCTTCTTCGACGTCTGTGGTTAGTATCTACTTGGAGAATGGGGCAATGGAAATTGGTTACAAATGATGATGTTGGATTAATTGCAGAACAAACGGCATGCTGATTTTAGGTAACTGATAACAGAAATTCGGTTTATATAAAGCGACCTTGCGTCCTGATCAATAACCTTCTATGCACCTGATCTTTGGCTGCTATTTTCAACAATCCGGATATTTTCATGCCACACTATTTGGCACTAACTACTCCATATGGAGTAAGTAGCATGGTCATGTTGATAGAGAGTAGCATTTTCTCGCCGTTGCATGGCTACAATCTGCATGCTTGAACACTCATCCATGTGTGAAGCACAGCTAATATATATATATATATATATATATATATGGTGGCGTATTCGGCGCACCCACTTTTTTGAGTGCACCCGCTTCATAATCACCATTCTGAGCATGCGATTCATGTTAAAACGGTATCAATTGTTGCTTATGATATTATGAACAAGAAGCACGTGAATTTGGAGAAAAAAAATCATTTAAAATTTACTTTAATTTGTAGGATTTAGGGCTAGGGTTTAGGTTTATAGTTTGGGATTTTGCATTGGGATTCAAAATTGAAGGTTAAAGGGTTAGAGTAATAGATTGATTTGTTATGATTCTATGGCATATCATCATATTATATTGGGCTCAATTGCAAATTTGGTCACTTGAATTACTAGTAAATTTCACGTTAGCCACTAGAATTACTTTATTCCATTCATATTCACTTAAATTAGGTTAATAGTTCAAGTTTGGTCACTGGCCGTTAGTTTCCGTTAACTCTTGCTGATGTGGCGGTCAACTATTATAGTTGACCGTTAAATGAGTGACGTGGCAATAAAAAATAATAATAAATAAAATAAAATAATTTCTTATTTTCCAGCTAATTAATATAAATTAAAAAAATCCAAATTTACTTAATTATTATTTTCCACCGTTTCATCGTCTCCGCCGCTAACTTCGTCGGTGTCGTCATTCTACTACCCACCGTCCTCCAATACTCCGATTCCTTCGCCGCCACCAACCTCCTCTCCGGCTCCAAACCTTCCCACGACATCATCCTCACCCCCGACCCCAACCATCACCACATAACAGATTCCTCTCCGCCCCTCTCTCCTGGTCCAACCACCCAACTTCCCTTGCCTCTGGCCACGTCTAGAAGCGGAGCTACCTCCTCCACAACCCACCGGGGCGGAGAAATCGAACTCCAAATTCTCTACTTGAAAGACTCGATAGCGCATTGGAGCTACCTCGTCCGCCCTGCATTCCCCCACTGTCGCCTCCTAATCTCTCTTCCGCCGGGTCCCCTTCTCTTCTTTCCTTTCTTATTCTTCTTCGTTCTTCCCCTAGCTCAACTGGAAGAAGAGGAGACATAGGAAGTCTATGTAAGCCCAATTCCCGTAGGTCACTAGGGAATAATTGTGGCCCAAGTGTAATTATCATTTAATGGTTTAATATATAAGGTAAATCCTATATTGATTAGGTTAATGATAGGTAAATTCCTAATATACCCTGATGGTGGGTCTATATAAAGAAGCTATAGGATTGGTCCTCTCTCAACCCATTACGTAGAATTTCTTAGCCATCACAGAAATCTCTAAACCTAAAACCTAAAGGGGTCAAGAGGGAGAAACTCAATTCCGGTGATTACTACTCCAGCGCCGCCGCCGCTCTCGTCATGGATCGAGGTAGGTTTACCCGATCTATTATCGATTCGTGAAATCATCTAATTCTAAGATCCATGCTATTATGATTTATGTTTACATGTGGTATCAGAGCCTGAGGGTTACATGAATAAATGATTTTCGCTTACGTATTTTATTTCCGCTACATCTGTGCGCCGAGCTCTGCGTATGAGAGCCATTTGCTTCGACTGTAGAGTTTCAATTATGCTTGTCGAATTCCAATCTTGCTTTGTTAGGGTTTCAATTCGGCTGTAGGGTTTCTATTATCGCCATTCTTGCTTTGTCGTTTATGTGGGTGCAATTATGCTTGTCAAATTCCATCAATAGAAACAAGGTCTGCGTATGCGAGAACCATTGCCATGCTAATTATATTCAAGGCCATTATATTCACAATGGCTGCGTATGCAAGAGCCACTATTCTCTTTTCTCCACGTTGCTATCTATTTTTCCCTGATAATTAATTTGATCAGTAGGCTTGATGATTGATCAGTTAAGTAATTATTATAATAATTATGTTATGATTAATTTGTTGATCAGTTGCTTTGACTTGAGTTAAATTATAGTTTTGATATCTATGTTATGATTAATTTGTTAGTCACCAAAGTGGCCAAATTAGAAGGTTTATAGATATCAAGTTGAATCAAGTTCAACTACTAATGTCTATGTGATGCTTTAAAGTTGAAGTTCGTGATTATAAAATATTTTCGAATCGCCCAAAGGTTGATTGCTCGTTTTATAATTCATGAACATTATTGTGGTAAATTGATGTGCTTGGTTAGATATATTTAGTATATCCAAAGATTGCAAGTATATCTAATTTGAGTATGTCTATCACCAATTATATGATTATTTTAAGCATCAATTACGATTATTTATCGCATATATATTGTTGTTTTGCCCAAAGGTAGCACCAATATATGTTTTATGTTTATGATTACGAATCTGTATTATAGTTTATGCTTATTACCCAAAGCATTAATGTGTGAGTACATGTTATATATGTTTGCAGCATCTGTTCCTGTTTCTCTTCATTCGCAAGCCACGTCTGTTGTTAAGTTTAATGGCCTCAACTTCTCTGAATGGGCTGAACAGGTTCAGTTTCACCTCGGTGTTCTGGATCTTGATTTGGCACTCTTAAGTGAGAAACCTGCTGCTCTTACTGATGCTAGCAGTGCTGAGGAAAAGTCTTTCCATAAAGCTTGGGAAAGATCTAACAGACTAAGCCTAATGTTTATGCGAATGACTGTAGCAAACAACATTAAGTCAACTTTCAATGATACTGAAAGTGCTAAGGAATTTATGAATTCCGTGAAAGAAAGCTCTCAGTCTGAGTCTGCTGATAAGTCGCTTGCTGGGACACTGATGGGTACGCTAACCACCATGAAGTTTGATGGTTCTCGTACCATGCATGAGCATATCGTCGAAATGACGAACATTGCAGCAAGACTAAAGACCATGGGAATGGAAGTGAATGAAAATTTCCTAGTAACGTTCATCCTTAATTCCTTACCTCCAGAGTATGGCACATTCCATGTGCATTACAATACTCTAAAGGATAAATGGAATGTGCATGAGTTACAAAGCATGCTCATTCAAGAGGAAGCAAGGCTTAAGAAACCGGGAAATCACTCTGCCAATCTTGTTGGTCATAAAGGAGCTGGAAAGAAACCATGGAACAAGAATGGGAAGGGCAAGGAAGGACTATCAAAGCTTAATGAGTCATCTGCCAAAATCCACAAGAAGGAACCAAGTAAGGATATATGCCGCTTCTGTAAGAAAGCCGGACATTATCAGAAAGATTGCTTGAAAAGAAAGGCATGGTTCGAAAGAAAGGGTAAGCCTAGTGCTTCAGTATGTTTCGAATCAAATTTAACTGAGGTTCCTTATAATACTTGGTGGGTTGACACTGGTTGTACCATTCATGTTTCCAAAACAATGCAGGGATTCCTTACGACCCAAACCATAAGGCAAAATGAGAAGTTCATCTATATGGGAAACCGAGCCAAAGTTCCAGTTGAAGCTATTGGGACTTATCGTTTGGTTTTAGATACTGGTCATCATTTGGACCTTGTCAATACCATTTATGCTCCTTCTATTTCTCGTAATTTAGTTTCGGTGTCTCAACTAGATAAGGCTGGGTATTTTTGGAACATTGGAAATGGTTCTATTAGTTTGTTCAAACAGAATGTTTTATTGGGTTCTGGTACCCTTGTTGATGGTTTGTACAAACTAAAGCTTGATACCCTATTCGCTGAGACTCTCTTAACCTTGCATCATAATGTTGGTATTAAACGTGGTTTGTTTGATGAATCCTCTGCTTACTTGTGGCATAAACGGTTGGGTCACATATCCAAAGAAAGAATGGAAAGGTTAGTGAAGAATGAAATCCTTCCTAATTTGGATTTTACTGACCTTGGAATTTGTGTTGAGTGTATTAAAGGAAAACACACAAAACACACACTTAAAAAAGCAGCCACAAGAAGTTCACAGCTCCTTGAAATTATACACACTGATATTTGTGGGCCTTTTGATGTTCCATCACTTGGTGGAGAAAAGTATTTCATTACCTTTATCGATGATTTTTCACGTTATGGATATATCTATTTGCTGCATGAAAAATCTCAGTCGGTAGATACCCTTGAGGTGTTTATCAATGAAGTTGAGAGGCAATTAGAAAGAAAGGTGAAAATTGTCAGATCTGATGGAGGTGGAGAATATTATGGAAAATATGATGAAAGTGGACAGTGCCCTGGTCCATTTGCTAAGTTCCTAGAAAGACGTGGTATTTGTGCTCAATACACTATGCCAGGAACACCGCAACAAAATGGTGTTGCAGAAAGGCGGAATCGTACTTTAATGGATATGGTTAGGAGCATGTTAAGCAACTCATCTTTACCCAAATCATTGTGGATGCACGCTTTAAGGACCGCTGTGTATTTGTTAAACAGGGTTCCTAGTAAAGCAGTTCCTAAGACACCTTTTGAACTGTGGACGGGAAGGAAACCCAGTTTAAGGCACCTGCATGTTTGGGGTTGCCCAGCGGAAGTGAGAATATATAATCCACATGAAAAGAAACTGGACTCACGAACAATCAGTGGTTTCTTCATTGGTTATCCAGAAAAATCTAAGGGGTATCGATTTTATTGCCCTAACCATAGTACAAGAATTGTTGAAACTGGAAATGCTAGGTTCATTGAGAATGGTGAAGTTAGTGGGAGCTTAGAGCCACGTCATGTGGAAATTCAAGAAGTTAGAGTGCAAATATCCTTGCCTCTACCCTCTTCTCAAGTTGTTGCTCCTGCACATGTTGAGCATGATAACGATTTGCAGGAACAACAAATGAACGATCAAGCACCACCTAATATTGCTATTGAGAATGATCCTAACATAGATGAACCACAAGAAATCGCATTAAGAAGGTCTACAAGAAATCGAAGGCCTGCAATTTCTGATGATTATGAGGTTTATCTTCACGAGTTAGAATCTGATTTAGGACTCTATCATGATCCAGTTTCATTTTCACAAGCCATGGAAAGTGAGCATTCTGATAAATGGTTAGCTGCCGCGAAAGAAGAGATGAAATCTATGTATAAAAATGAAGTTTGGGACCTTGTTGATTTGCCTGAAGGTTGTAAAAGAGTTGGTAATAGATGGGTCTGGAAGACCAAACACGACTCTAATGGCAATATCGAAAGACACAGGGCCAGACTTGTTGCCAAAGGTTTCACTCAGAAAAGTGGTGTTGACTATAAAGAGACATTTTCACCCGTCTCTAAGAAAGACTCCTTAAGGATTGTCATGGCAATGGTAGCTCATTATAATCTAGAGCTCCATCAGATGGATGTGAAAACCGTCTTTCTGAATGGGAATTTAGATGAAGCAGTCTATATGGATCAACCTGAAGGTTTTGTGGTTGAGGGAAAAGAACATATGGTGTGTAAATTAAAGAAGTCAATATACGGACTTAAACAAGCTTCCCGACAATGGTATATTAAGTTCAATGATACCATTACATCTTTTGGATTTAAGGAGAACATCGTCGATCGATGTATATATCTGAAGATTAGTGGGAGTAAGTTTATAATTTTAGTTCTGTATGTTGACGATATCTTGCTTGCTACTAATGATCTTGGTTTATTACATCAAACCAAGGAGTTTCTCTCTAAGAACTTTGAAATGAAGGATTTGGGTGAGGCATCCTATGTGATTGGAATAGAAATATTTCGTGATAGATCACAAGGACTGTTGGGATTGTCTCAGAAATCATACATTAACCGGATCCTAGAGAGATACAACATGGCTGAATGCTCTGCAAATGTCGCTCCAATTCAGAAGGGAGATAGATTTAGTCTCAAACAATGTCCAAAGAATGAATTGGAACGCAAGCAAATGGAACACATTCCTTATGAATCTATTGTTGGAAGTTTGAATTATGCACAAACTTGTACCAGACCAGACATCAGTTTTGCTGTCGGAATGCTGGGCAGGTATCAAAGTAATCCAGGAGTAGATCATTGGAAAGCTGCAAAGAAGGTACTAAGGTATCTGCAAAGAACAAAAGACCACATGCTCACCTTTAGGAGATCTGATCACCTTGAGGTGATTGGATATTCAGATTCAGATTATGCTGGATGTGTAGACACCAGGAAGTCTACTTTTGGCTATTTGTTCCTTCTAGCCGGAGGGGCAATTTCATGGAAGAGTGCGAAGCAGTCTGTTATTGCCACATCCACTATGGAAGCTGAATTCATAGCTTGTTATGAAGCTACGAATCATGGTTTATGGCTGCGGAATTTTATTTCTGGACTTGGAATTGTCGACACTATCGCCAAGCCGCTGAAAATTTACTGTGATAATTCCGCAGCGGTATTCTTCTCTAAGAATGACAAGTATTCGAAGGGTGCTAAGCATATGGAGGTGAAATACTTTGTCGTTAAGGAAGAAGTTCAGAAACAAAGGGTGTCGATCGAGCATATTAGCACACAGCTTATGATTGCTGATCCATTAACAAAAGGATTGCCTCCTAAGACATTTACTGAACATGTCGAAAGGATGGGGATTATAGGACGTCATGAATAAAGTTATTTTATGTTTCATGGATTGACACTTTGAGCTCATTTATTTTGTTTCTGGAATAAAGTTATGAATCTTGTTTTATTTATTATGACCAGTATATATACATTATGCATTATGAGAACAAAACAAGATTTTTATCTTTAAGAAAGACATTATTGTTGGACCATTATGAATACCTTGTTATGTGTCATATTGAGCATGAGACTGGTTTGGTGGTACATGGAAGGGACTATGTCGATAAATTGATATAGAACCGCCATGATCCTAATCTAGCTTTCATACTTGATTATGACTTTATGGTGAACCAAATATTATGGATTTATCTTATGATGTGCACACTTATGTATATTATTAGATCTTGTGATATATAATGACACATGGACCAAGTGGGAGAATGTAAGCCCAATTCCCGTAGGTCACTAGGGAATAATTGTGGCCCAAGTGTAATTATCATTTAATGGTTTAATATATAAGGTAAATCCTATATTGATTAGGTTAATGATAGGTAAATTCCTAATATACCCTGATGGTGGGTCTATATAAAGAAGCTCTAGGATTGGTCCTCTCTCAACCCATTACGTAGAATTTCTTAGCCATCACAGAAATCTCTAAACCTAAAACCTAAAGGGGTCAAGAGGGAGAAACTCAATTCCGGTGATTACTACTCCAACGCCGCCGCCGCTCTCGTCATGGATCGAGGTAGGTTTACCCGATCTATTATCGATTCGTGAAATCATCTAATTCTAAGATCCATGCTATTATGATTTATGTTTACAGTCTATGCGCTCCCTCCGCCCTCTTGCTGCTCTCATCACCGGCAGTGTGACAAATCCTTTTTGCCCGATGCTCGAATCGCATCGACGGCGGTGCCTCGCTTCCAGTTTCTCCAGTAATCTCTCTGTCAGTAGCCACCGCCCAACCATTGATCTCCGCGCCGATATTCAATTTGGAAATAAATAAATAAATAAATAAATAAATAAATAAAAAGAGGAGAAGAAGAAGGCAAAATTCAGAGCACGCCTAGGAAAAACGAAGAAGAATAAGAAAGAAAAGAAGAGAAGGGGACCCGGCGGAAGAGAGATTTCTTTTATTATAGGGTTGGGGAAAGCTGCCGCTGCTGCTTTAGAGGGAGATTGGAATCGTCCCTATCACCGACTCGTCGAGATCGTAGGGAGAGGCGGCGACGTAGATGTGGTGGAATCCGTCGGGAGAGTCAAAGAGCGACGGCGGCGAGTCGAGGTAATCGCCGGCTTCGTTGGTGGACTGCGGGGAATTTGGCAGGTAGGAGATATATCCAATCGGCGGTTAGCTGGAACGATGTGAAAATGAGTACGGGTGTAATGAACGGCCGGCTGTGCCGCCGGTTCCGGCTTTAGCCTGAACTTTATATTATTCGATTGAAACTATCTACGAATAAAATAATTAGCTGGAAAATAATAATTAAAAAATTAGGATTTTTTTTAATTTATAATAATTAGTTGGAAAATAAGAAATTATTTTATTTTATTTTATTAATTGCCACGTCACTCATTTAACGGTCAACTATAATAGTTGACCGCCACATCAGCAAAAGTTAATGGAGACTAACTGCCGGTGACCAAACTTAACTTGTTAATCTAATTTAAGTGACTACGAATGGAATAAAATAATTCTAGTGGCTAACGTGAAATTTACTAGTAATTCAAGTGACCAAACTTGTAATTTATCCTATTAGATTGAGAGTACTCATTAAAGTTCAAAATTTGGACACTTTTAGGGATGGATGCACTAAAAAAGTGAGTGCACCGAAGTAGCCACCATATATATATATATACTTGAGATTTGCAGTGGGTCAAGCTTAAAGCAGCAGAATGGCGATTCTTGTCATGTGGTGCCTAATCAGGCAGCCTGATCTCCTCCTCCCCATCCGGAAGAGTGGTGATGCTTGTCTCTGCCATCTGCATGTTTTGCCTTCCCCGAGTCCTGCCGGCGTGAAGATCCGCTCCGCTCTACCGGGTTGTTTACTACAGGCCGCCCAATCATCGGCTTCGGACGTTCTGTTGAAGGAAGGGCCCACCCTCCACGACCAGTATGTGGATTATTCTGTCCACTCCCAATGGCCCCTGAGCAATAGGAGTTTGTGGGAGAAATTTGTTACCACATAAATTGAGATAGAAGAGATAGAAAATAGCAGTACAAGTTCTAGCAGCACATTCCTGAGCAACTTGACAAACGACCAACTTGTCACAGTCCCAGACATCAAGAACAAGGACAAGCAGTTCATGAAAACTTCAAGCAAAGGACTCTTGTACAGCTGAAACAAAAACGAAAAAGACATAAAGCCAAAATTATTCTTACTCATATCCTCACGACCACTGAAGTTCCTTCCCCAGCCAGGCAAATGAGGTCCAGCACTACCATTCCAAGCTTGCTCAAAACTAGCAAGTTCATCTAGAAACACAGGATGGGGGAAATTAGCCTATATCGCACATTATGCTGGGACAAACATTAAGAAGTTAGAATTAGGAAGCTCACCTTGCTCAATATTGTGCAGGATCTGCTGTGAATCCACATTCCCATCAGAGTTAAGCTTACGTGCTACGGTATGACCCTGTGGGCATTGATAAAAACAACATCAATCAAATCCAATTTATTCAAAAAAAAAAAATCAAATCCAAATACACCATAGATGCAGCAACCGATAACAGCCACAAATAATTCAGGTACCTTGTTGTGTAACCCCCTGGAAATCCTATGAGATGCTATGCCTGTAGAACTATCAGCTTCTTTGCTTTCTTCAAATGTTACCTGTTTTCCAGTCAAAGTTATAATAACATACAAGACAAGAAGACAAAAACAGCAGCTTGCAATAACCTTCCGGTGATTACTAGAGGACCTCACCCCATCATTTCCTGTTCTCCTTGTCTTGGATGAAGTGTAGTAAGTTCCACCAGCACCACCATAGGAGACACTTGAACTTTGAAACACAAAGCTCTGACGTTGAGGCCGAGACTGAACTCTACTGAAACTGTTGTGCCTATTTTCAGCCATCAACTGCTTGTGCTGCCTGCCTGTTGCATACAAATTTCTTAGCTAAGCAATGGTTCATATGTAACTCTCTACATAATCACAGGCGTGAACTCACAGTAAGACAACCAAAAGCTCACCTTCAGCTTCGTCGTCCACTTCCTCAACATATGGCCCTTTACCAGACCTCCCATGCTTTCTGGAGTTCTCTTTCCTCTCCTTATCAGCATCCTGCTTCTCATCATCAGACTCTAGTTCCTCAATTGTCGGTCCTTGTGATCTATTGGGTACTGGAGCTTGATGCTCAATATATGTTGGTGGATGCATTGGCACGAAAGGATTTGCATGGGGGCCAAAGATACTGGACTCGAACATTCCTCCAAATGGACGAGTAAAGAAAGGATCGTCGAATGGGTTCCTTCCGTCGAATAAGCCAGGCAACATGCTCCTCCGCCCTCCAAATCCTCCAAATCCCCCAAAACCAGCAAATGGATCACCACCGAAACCAAAGAACGGATCCCCGCCTCCCCTTCCTCCTTGCATTTTCAGACAACTGGTTCAATGAAATAGCAACATGCAGCAGCTAATCAGTCACAAACCCGATGATCATCCGCTTGTACAATGAAAACACAGACCAATTCCAAATATGGAGAACCTAACCTCTATTCACTTCAATAATCACAATACACAATTCTACAAGCAACAAACGCGACTCAAAGCTAAGTAATCCAGCTAATGAAAATCATTCGCCTAAAGCAACTAACCGGAGCTTAGATTGACCCAGAAGAGGAACAGATTTTCATAAGTTCAGCAAAAAGTAACTTGGAAGACATCAGGTCAACAGTGCCGATTTCAACGGCTCATCCACTAGATAGCACGACACTCTCGAAGAAAAGAAGGCGATTGACAACACCAAGTTCGTCGCTAAATAGAGTAAGGAGCTCACGGGAGCGGCAAATGTAATGAGAATTGAAGAAATGACGAGAACAGGGAGAGGAGACGATACCTTTCAGAAGCAAAGGAATTAGAAATCCGGCGATCGAATCAAAACCCTAACCGGAATGGCGAATGGTTGGTGTCGATGCGAGGAATTCAGGCTACGAATCTCAGTTTGCAGGCGCAACTTTTTTGAGATTTTCCCTTCTCGCCGACTAAAGGGACGCAATAAGAGGAGAGAGCTCGGAGCAGGTAAAGAGGAAGATTCTGGCGTCTAGTTCCGACGCGGCACGGTTCAAGAAGATGTATACTTACACGTGTCTCCGCGTTGCTTGATCGATGAATTTGGGGTGAAATACCAGTTTCGATTTGGCCACCCGACTTGTTTATACGTACCGTAATCATACCCTAAGCTTTACCCCCTGTTTCTTTGCCAGGGAAAAGGAGAGAAAGGAAAGGAAAAGGGGGGAATTGTGGGTTCCAATAAAATTTCCCCCGTTTCCGAAATGTTCTACAGTACATAGGTGAGGGAAAATGGAGGGGCCGCGTACTGTGCTAGCTTCACCCCCAAATTGGAGGGAAAATAATGTGTTCCCTTGTCTTTTTTGTTTGTTTGTAACCAATCTCTCTTTTCTTTCTTTTTTTTATTTCTTTCTTCTCTTTTATCTCTGTAGCCCGTAGGAATTGGAGAGCTCAACTTTAATAATAATAATAATAAATTGGCAAGGAAAGGCAGAGAAAAAGAGATTTGTGATTAAGAAGTAATTCTAAGATATTTATTGTTTTATTAAAATAGGAAAAGGAAGCATACAAAATGAAAAGAAGACGGCGGAGGGTTTTAGATAATGATAGAAGTAATTACAATTTGTTATCCATTTTAGCTGAATAGTTGGGATTACTCCTCATTATTAAAATAATGGTTTGCTAAATTATATATCATGGTGAATTAGTACGAAAATCACGAATCAATATAACTAATCCACTGCATTATTTTAGTTTGAATTCAAATTGATGATTTTTTTATAGAAGTAACGGTCAACCATTAGATCTAACTGTCGACATATTTCCGTACTATTCTACTTTTGATTTGATCACTCTCGTACTAGACACGTATAAATGTTAATATCTGTATTTAATAAATTAAAATTGCTTACGTAATACTGATCTATATTATACATAACGTCGTTTTACACGAAACATAAACTTATTAGAAAGAAATGGATGTCATCTTGTACATGAGAGGTAATCCAATTTTTATGAAAAAAAAATTTTAATCAAGTTAAAATAAACGAGATTTTTAAATCAAGAATTTTTTTTAATATTGAACCAAGTTAGTAAGAAATAATACATTTGCTCCACTATCCATACACATTTTAATTATTTTACTATTATATAACCAATTAAATAACATATCTATCACAATTCCCAATACATACTTTCCTTTCCACTTTCCTTCATAAAACAACATTTTCCTCCCAATTTCCTTCACTTCCAAATCTCCCCTCCCCTCCCCTCCCCTCCCCATTTTCCTTCACCTCCCCTCCTTTTCCTCCCTTCCTTCGGAAACAGAGGGTTAGTATTTCATTCCTTTGGAAAAAAAAAACTTTAGTATTTCAGAAATAGATTGCATTTAAATAGTCATATTAATCTATAGGATTCTATTAAAAAAAATCTATAGATATAATATGTTCTTCTACTATGCACTTTTATAAAATATGCTTCTTTACTATTTTTTATACCAAATATGTCTATCTATTTTAGAAAAAATTTCAAACATGCCCTACTATTAAAATTTGCATCCAAAAATTGTCAATCATGATCGAACCATAGTTTGGGCGACACAAATAACTAAAATACTAAGTGAGGTGCAAACGTGTGGTGGCTAAGATCTGTTTTAAGCTAAGTGTGGGGGTTAATTGCAAGTTTGGTCACTGAGTTTACTAAAAATATTCATGTTTAGTCACTCGAAATATTTAAATCCATTGGTGATCACTCGAATTAGTAAAACGGTACACGTTTAGTCACTCTCTGTTAGTCTCTGTTAACACCGTTAATCAATTGCTGACGTGGCTAACAGAACTGCTGACTCACCTAATTTAACCCCCCACATCACCAAATCTGACCCGCCACGTCACTTAACCCACTACCTTAGTTTCCCCAACCCAACCCATAAATCAACCCTACACAATCGTGACCAACCCTCCGCCTCCAGAACCACCGCCACCAAGCAATCGCTCACCGCCTCCAGAATTCCATCCTCCGTCATTCATCACCATTCTCATCTCCTTGCCATAGTGAATCGGTGTAAGAGCTTCTTATTGCGCACCTCCACTGCCGGATTCGTGCGGGACCAACACTCTTGAAAAGGGATATGAATGAATGAATCCATTTTTCTTCTTCTTTCTTTGTAACAAGAGCTTCCACCGGTCCAACCAGCTTATCGGTCTCTAGTAGGGCAAAGAAAGAAGAAGAAAAATGGATTTATTCATTCATATCCCTTTTCAAGAATGTTGGTCCTACACGAATTCGGCAGTGGAGGTGCACGATAAACAGGTCTTACACCGATTCACTACAGCAAGGAGATGAGGATGGCCATGAATGAGGAGGCGGTGAGCGATTGCTTGACGACGGTGGTTCTGGAGGTGGAGGGTTGGTTTATGGGTTGGGTTGGGGAAACTGAGGTAGTGGGTTGAATGACGTGGCGGGTCGGATTTGATGATGTGGCGGGTTAAAATTGGGTGAGTCAGCAATTTTGTTAGCCACGTCAACATTTGACTAACGGTGTTAACAAAGACTAACGGAGAGTGACTAAACGTGGACCATTTTACTAATTCGAATGATCACTAATAGATTTAAATATTTTGAGTGACTAAACATGAACGTTTTTTGTCTCAGTGACCAAACTTGCAACTAACCCCCAAGTGTGGATGCTTCTTTTCAAGAGTCCATTCGAGTTCAGCCAGAAGGTGATGCGGGGTTCAATCTCTCTATAAAGTACCTATGCTTGCAACCAAAATGCCCCAAGTGTCAGGTCTTTGGTCATGCTCATGGTCATGGTGCTGGCCCTGAGTGCAAGGTGGCTAAAGGGCAAGAGGTGGCTTGGCAGGAAAAGTCAGGGGTGGTTAGTCGGGAGCTCCCTTCTAATCCTTTGCTCTCCTCAGTCAGGGTAGTCTTTAGTACTAATGCTACTACACCGAGGGGATTCCATATTATCTTAGCAGCTCAGTGTTCTAGTCCTGCGGGTACTTGTGTGAAGGCTTTGTCTCTTGGTAAGGGTAAAGGAAAAGAAGTCATGGAATCAGTGGAACTAGTGTCTGTTGCACAGGTTGCTAGTTCTACTGCTAAGGCTAGTAGCTCTAGTTCTCAGTCCCATAGCAAGTCAAAGGCTAAAGCTCTGCCTCCTCATTGAGGGCGTGGGAGGGGCAAGCGTCAATGATTCTGCTTTCATGGAATGTTAGGGGATTCAATACCCATGAGAAGCACGTGTATATATATATAGTCAGTTAAATAAACATCAAGTAGATTTAGTTTCTTTGTTAGAGACTAGAGTTTTACCTGAAAATGTTGATCCTATAGTTAAAGGGCAATTTAGAGAATGGAAGTTTATGGACAATTATAATAAGTATGCTTCTGGTCGGGTCTGGTTGCTGTGGAGGAATGGTTTGCGGGTTACTGAATTGGAATCTGGGTAGCACTTCCTTCATGTGAAAGTTACTTCAAAAACTGAAGAGTTGATTGACACTGCAATCTATAGCCTTAATAAAATGTTGCGGAGGACTCAGATATATAAGGATTTGAGAGTTTGTCGTCGGGATGAGGTACCATGGGTGGTTTTTGGATATTTTAATGCCATAGCTGAGATCAATAAGGCTTCCGACCCTCGGTAGTGAACCAGAGTATGATGGACTTCCGGTATTGGATTGATGATATGAAGCTGGTAGATCATACGGTCACAGGGTCCTGGTATACGTGGTGGAATAAACAACAATATAATCCTATTGCCAGACGTATAGATAGAGTCTTAGTGAATGGCTCTTGGTTGGATAGTTTTCAATCCAGTACAGGTATAACACTGAGCCCGAGTATATCTGACCATTGTGGTTTGTTGGTATTGACATCCAGTGGGTTGAAGAGTCTCCCAAAACCATTCAAGTTCTTCAAATTTTGGAGAACCCACCCCGCCTATTTGGACTTATTGAAATCTGCTTGGGATGATTCTGACATAGGAGTCCTGGATGGATCCTTTTGATTGTCTCTTCCTGAAGCTTTTGAGATTGAAGAAGAAGCTTAAGGTTCTTAACCGAACTGTATATTCTGACGTCTCTACTCGAGCTAGGGAGGCTGAAAACCAACTGGTACCTGTATTGGATGAGATATTTGTTGGACCTACTGAGGAGAATGTGGAAAGGGTGAGACAGCTGGCTTAGGCTTGTTTTGAAGCTCAAACTGCAGAGGAAAGTTTTTTCAAACAGAAATCTCGAGTGTATTAGGTCTTGGGAGGGGATTCTAATACTTCTTTCTTCCATAACTATGTGAGAATCCATAATAAGAAGCAGACTATTGATCATCTAGTTTTTTAGGATGGTTTTTTGGTTACTAATGTAGAGCAGTTGGGACAGGTGGCTATTGATTTCTACAATAAATTACTCGGTGAGTCCAATATGGAGTTACTGGAGCAACCGTGAGATTTTATGAAGGGCTACTTAGAACTAAATTACTGCCAGAGGGAGCTAGTGATTTGTAGAAGGTGGTAACTCGTGAGGAGATCAGGTCCGTTTTTATGTCCATGGCATCAGACAAGGCACCAGGCCTGGATGGCTATCCTGCTGACTTCTACAAGGCTTATTAGAGTATTGTGGGAAAGGATGTAAAGGATGTTGTGCTGCAATTCTTTGAAACATGTATTTTACCTAGGAAGATTAATCATACTATTCTTACTTTGATTCCCAAAATAGCTAATGTAGAAACTAGAAAGAATGAAGGACTTTCATCCCATATCCTATTATAATGTG